TGTTGACATACAACAAAAATAATTTACATATAGAATGAGTATGATGAGTATGTCTTATTTGACATTACAACTGTATTACGTATAAATATATGACCAGCTGATGCGCCTTTCATATTCCCGCTAGTCTTTTGAGGTACCAGACGAAGGTCCATTTTTGCTGCGATCTAAAATAGTCTTCGTATAGGTCGTCAAGCTCCGAGATACATACATATATAAGACGAGTTCTAGCTAAAACCAGACTGAAACAGAGGAGGTACTCTAACGTCTCACTCATGCTTTTCGCCCTCTACCTCCTAAATGTGTCACTGCTACTAATGCCCATTCTGTTCGCATATCCTGCAGTCTTTACTGGTACGTGTAAGAAAGAAATAGGTGTTTCTTAAGCTCTCCTTGCACATGATCTTGGTGGTTTGCATGTCGATAATGTATTCCATCTCACTCTGATCCGACACATAGTTCTCAAGGAAATTTCACTATACAAAGATCGTTTTTAGCGACTTTTACTCTTACTGGTTCGCTGGTCAGACGGTCTACATTTTCGCCAATCTTATCTGCTATTTCGTTATCCTGACACAAAACATTGTGAGACTATAGCCTTGATTGCCGCCTGACTGTCGACACATACAGATATTCTCTTTTGGTATATATTTTCCTGCGTTGCTAACTCTCCCAGTAGCTTATCCTATAGAGTAGACCTCTGCCAGAAAGGCACTGCAGTACTCTGGAAGTTTGAAGGGAAGCTCAACGCAATAAGCCCGGCGCACGCCCCATCAGATTTTTTTTTTTGATCCATCGGGTAGATGTTATATGTACGCACCACAGGGTTAGACGAGATCTCGTCTCTCTTCGTCTGGTTTATAGTTTCGTCGTCTGTGGTTTTGCCGTTGCCAATGCGCAAAAGACCACACATATTCTGCAAAACCTTTTTAATCGAGAACTTCACCCATTAGATGTTGTAATCATTCAGAACTTCGCATCATGTAACAGGATGGGAATGATAAGGGACTTGGTAGAGTTTATAGGACTTTCTTTTTCAATTGCCTTTTCTGTCCAAAGTAGCACCGGTTTATATTGGTTTCAAGATAGACAAAATTACCTACGACTTTAAAGTTCTGACTGTAGAGGCAGTAGTCTGCTTTAGAGGCTTCATAAAGGCTTAAGGGGGAAAATTTATTTTAAAACTAACCAAGAATGTGTCTTTAAAATTGCAGTGGTCGATTCGACATAGTATTTGAGAAGCTAGAGCAGATTTAATGGCCGAGCGTCGAACAGGTTCGAAGGCTTGGATAGAACTTTGAAGCGCGTTTTCTGGAGTTTACATTTTTAAGTCTCTAAAAACGGTGCCGGTGATAGATATTAAATTATTTATTTGAACTTGAAACAGTTGGACAAAAGAATTATTTAAACTATTTTTTATTACAACTTAGAGAGAATTTTTATCTCAAAAATTGAATTTTTTTCCAGCTTCGAAGCTGGAATTCTTTCACTTCTTCGATATTTCTTAGTTCTTTTAGAAGAGCCACTCATAAAAATTAAAAAAAAAATTTGGTTCGACTGCACTGTTTCACGAGTTCAGACTGCAGCCGCTTCAGAAAACTCATCGCATCATAGGAAAATCCAAAATTTTTCGATACTGAAAATTGGTTTTTGAAGCTTAAATATAGCAATTTCGTTTGCGGCAATAACTTCCTTCCCTTTCAAATAACTTGTTAAAAAAAACGATATTTTCGGGTTCTAAAGACTCCTGACGCATTTTCAAGCTCTTTCAAAAGATTTTATTTTCTGCATTTAACTATGAAGCTCGCATTGCTTTCTTCTGTACAAAATTGAAGAAGTCACACGATAAATAGTCAACTTTCCTGAAAGTTCGCTTGGTATCGAACAGCTTGGATAGGTTCTTCCTGATGCTGATGGAGCTTTTAATCTTGCTCAGCGTTAGTATACAAAGACCTATTAGTTTTGTAGTGATATCAAATTCAGATATAGCGGTGTAGAGGTAGCATCTTTTCGTCCTATCGAAGGCAGCTTTAAAAACGATGAAAAGGTGGTGTACATCGATCCGTGCATCCACTAATAAGGACCAATCAGGCCGTTGACAGGCGTTCGGAAAGACCTTGAATGCGACATTGAGAAGTCATATTCTACGATAATTGGCGCTATGAATTACTAAAGCGATTTCCTCGCAATCTCTTCTTCTTCCCAATTTGTGGAGTGTGTCTTTATGAAGAAATCCTTTCTGCGAAGGGCTAATGGAGTTTTATGAAGAGCACTTAATTTATGGAGACGATTAGAAAAATTAAAATTTTTTTTTTAAATTTCATTTGCTGACAGTGCCGGAACTTGAAATCTGGCCTTTCGAATGGTAGTACGTACAGCTGGTACTCAAGTAGTGTAGTTTGTACTTAAGTTTTTGTGTATTTTTCTACTTCTGCTAATTTTATTTGCGTAAGTGTGATTCATAAATCGTAGAGTTCTGAGATTGATAGCTGATTTATACATACATATATATATATATATAATTTTCTTGAGACGAAACCGCCAAAAGTCACAATATTTTAAACACCTGCAATTATTCTTAAATTAAATTACTTCCTTCTTCCTCTTATGAATAGTTTCCTATTTTGTTAGCTTCTGTTAGCATTTGAAATATGTACGTACGTGCATATGTACGTAGTATCTGTGAAGTATGTATTTATAAATGCAAATATAATTCATTTTGCTGTCTGCTCTTTCATCGCTTTCATTAGTCATCATCGCTTCGATGTAAAGTAAAGCAAAAAGTTGGCTTATACTGTTTTTGAGCATTTAAGTGCAAGTATTGTACATATACATAGATATCTGAATTAGTCATATGTATACATAACTCAAGTAACAGTTTCGCTTATTTTAACGGCTGTTTTTTTTTTTTTTTTTGAAATTTGCTTATGAAATATCTAAATATTTTTAGAATAAAATTTGGTTAACCTCAAAATAAAGAGTTAAACGAATAAAAGGCAAACTGTTTTATGTGTATATATCTATTTAATTGTTGTGGTCAACAGGAAATGCTTTAAAAATTAGTTATATATGTATATTTTTGGTTTGGTCCATAAAAATATTTGCTATGAAATTTTACAACTAAGCCCCAAAACTTTTAGTTCATAACACAGATGAGGCCACAAATTGTTATTCGTTGCTTAGTATTCTAAATAAAAGCAACATTTTTATATGCACATACATACGTACATACGTGTATGTATCTGTTCTATTTACAAACATAAATGTAAACTTCGCCACAAATTTGCATTTTATATTTGCAGTCAGCAAATTTTTAAAAGAAAATATTTTTTAAAATGTAAATAAAATGAATTTACCACAAAAAAAAATAATAATTTTTTGTAAATGTAAACAATATGAATTTACCATCACATCGACTATTTTTCATTTAAGTAAATAAATAAATATTTTTGCTTTTCGTTTTCCAAAAATTTATTTGTCATCACAATGCATATTGTTTGTCGTTATAAAAATTGAAATAAATTTCTAATTTAAAATTTACATGAAAAAAGTTTATTAGCAAATAAAAATTTCAAAAAAAAAAAACGCTCAAAAAATTGTTATTTATTTTGGGTTTTAGTAAAAAAAATTTGGAAAATTCGTTTTCTTTTTGCTGCTTTTATTATAAACAAAAGTAAAGTTAAACAAACTACATAATACAAATGTACACACATACATATATACGATATTTGTATGCATTTTCATTTAATATGCAAACACCGCCAAAATATGCGTAAATAAAGTATTTCAATTGACACAGCATATTAATCAAGACAAATTTACTCTGATAACGACTGACACAAATAAATAAATACACAATTACATACATCACACATATGTATGTTGTCTTTAATATATGTAGATGTACATTTTTGCTATTTTCAGTTTGTAACAAAGAAGCGTTTTAATAAACATACGTACATATATACACATTGATGTATGTATGCACTTTTGTACATATATTCAGTATATAAAAGCGTTGTTGTGTAAATAACTTAGGACTTTATGCTACAATTGAAGCTGGATAATTGCTACAAGAAATGTTCATGCATTGAGGTTATGTTTTAAAAACGGAATTTATATAATTTAGCCTAACTATCAAACCTGAATTAAAAAAAAACATTAGTAGACTATTCTTTCTTTTACTATTATTTATTTATTACTATGTTTTTACATTTATTACTTTATTTTGATATGTTGATTTTCTCTGCCAGAAACAGGTTTTACTGTAGTGGGAACGAATCTTTATTTCTTTTTTGAAGTCAGAAAATACACATATGAATATACATATATATGTAATGTGTTCACCTACATTTAAAATTAGAGATCATCTTAATGCGCTTTCTTGATAATACTGGCTGAAACGCAATAGTTGCAAGTGTACATATGTACATGCATATATACATATATGTATGAAAATTATTCGGTGGTCTTTTGCGTATATAACTTTTAAAAAGCCCATGAGAACTTGAATTTAAACACTATATAGATATACGCCAAACCTATAGCCTCATGCAGCTTCCATAAGCATTAAGAACAAAAAGTCAGCAGCATAACTTGTAAACTAAAGATGTTATTAAATGTAATGTATATTTTCGACATTGCACTTAGTGAAACTTATGGCATTCAAATGCTCGATGGTGAGAAAGTTAATAAAATTTTAATGTAAGTAAATATATTTTACCAAAGGTTATGTAGTAAAGCGATGTTATAAGTTTAATTGAACTATCATTATTAAAAAAATAACTAAATTGTTATTAATTACACATTGCACCAGTTTTCTTCTTTTACGATTCAATTACTATAAAACATAATATTTTTGAAGGCAGTTTTATCAGTGAATTCACAGCCAAGCAAGCAATCCAATTAAGCATTAATAGTTAAGCAATAATGAATGTTGCATAAAGACATCTCGTAAATATATAAATATTGGTAAAAGTATAAATTAAACTCATTCTACGCACCTCATCTGTAGCACCAGCCTCCTCCTGTGCTGCAACAAGCACAAGGAGAAGCGACAGCACAACAACTGTGGCTGTTGCACCGACGGCGAGACGCATTTTTTGCTTTTTTTTTGTGTTTATAAAATTTTGAATGTATCGAGAACTACCGTAATTCACTCTTAAAACACACGCACACACAAAGTAAAATTATTATAAGTTTGAAAACACTTTTCAAGTTTAATGCGTTTTATTAAATTTCTTTCTTTCATAAAATAAACCAGATAACAATCAGCTGATATACACCTTGGCACACAAAAACAAACCAAACACCAAGAAATTCACGAGAAGACTGATGTGAAAACAGTAGTGGTTGTTCAGTGAGTGCACAGTTTAGAACAGAGTTGCTGTTGTGCTTTACACTAGCGTAGTGTTGTATAAAAAGGACTAAAAACAAACGTCAATTGGAATTGAATTCAACTATTTTATTATATTAGACGAGTAGCTCGTTAGCAGTACATCAACCCCTTCTAATATGAAATGAAATGATTCACATAAAAATCCGACAGTTGTTCGGAGGTGGACTAGATTAAATTGTAGGTCCCTTCACGAATTGGAGAGAAGCGAATTTGTTCTCTTTCTATTAACCTAAGGAAGGGTAAATCGGACAAAAACCATGATTTTTTGAATTGATTGGACCTAGAACCATCGCCTCGACACAAAATTGTTTCACATATTAACCTAGACAAAGGGCGATCTATGTTTCAAATTTCAAGAAAATGCCTACGGTATACATAGCACATACCTACTAAGTCTCAGGTCTCTACGATTAGTGATTTACGCCATGGGTTCATCTATAAGTTATTCAGGGTAAAGTTTTTCAATACTTTCGGTAGTTCGTAAGATAACTACTAGACAAACTTGGTTGGTTGTTGGGCGGGTTCTAAGTCATAGAGTAGGCTCGTCGTTCTCCTATTTTACCTTCTTTCACATCTATGTAGCAACCTTTGTATAAAAAGTCGACGCCTCAATTGGTTGTTGTCCAATCGCAAGGGTTTTCTCCTGCGTGTCGTCATCTTCTGTGCATGTTTTGCTTTCAGCCGATTCCACCACTTCAAAGAAAATGGATTATAGAACTCTAAATAAGACCTTCCTTAAGCGAATATGTTTGTTTCCACTTTCATGACCAACTCCGTTACGTTGGTAACCGAAAAGCTTGCAAAAAGTACTACAAAACTATTGATAAATCAACAAAACTGAAGAGAAAATATTGAAATTTTTAGCACGAGTGTATATATACATACAAGTGAGATATTAAAACAAGTTAAGTTGATTGCGAGCCTGCCTGTTGATTAAACAATGACTACCCGCGCAAGTAGATCCTTTCTGCATTCATGCTTAAAAGTACCCATCGATCCTTGTAATAACTGTCCAGCGCCAGTTTATAATCGGCCACAAATGTATCTAGGTCGCTTAACAACAACACCATTAAGTGCTACAGTCAAGTCATTGCACACCACGGATCTGGAGAACGTGGACTCAATGCTGGTTAATAGTGGGATACGGTCTTTAGCTAAGCTTTACGACAGCATACCAGGTGAGAAAAGGAATATAAATTTTGAAGATGGGTGGAAAATGCCGATATTTTTTGTGTTTAGATTATAAAGACATCAATCATTTGCCAAATGAACAATTCTACTCAACCCTGGACACCTTGCGGTCCACTTGTTGTGAGTTGCGCACCAAGCCAGCATGCGTGGTGGAGGAGAGTAGCACGACGTCATCTCTATCCTCACATTGTGTCAAAAGAAAACGAGTAAGAGCTTCTAAAACATCAAAAAGTGGGCCTTCAAGTGGTAAGACCTGTGGTAGAAGGAAAACTGGTAAAGGAAAAACCCAAGACGATTGTAGGAAAACCCAATGCGCTTTTGGAACTTCAGATTTTGCCAAAAGCAGTGATGGGAAATGGTAAGATCTATTTCAAACAATTGATATTTACATACATATGTATGTATGTAGATTAATTTAAATTTTATTTCTCAGTTACAAGGAAGAGTTTGAAGATGAAGTAAAAGCGTTCCAAAAAACATTTAAAGACTTCGAAGAGGAACTAAATAAACGACACAAAGTATCTTCCTCAGTACACCAAAAGTTGGGGACACTTGAGAGGGATACCAATGGGAATGAAAGATGTGGAGTGAAAAACTACGAAGATAAGTAATAATAATAATAACGTAAACGATGTTGAGAAAGTATAAATTTTACATCTCTCTCTCTCTCTCTGCAGGCAACCACCTACACCGGATGTTAGTAATTTTCGAGATAACTTCCGGAAAACCGTTGAGAACAAACTACCCAGCTCGAAAGCGAGCTCGGCAAACTTTCGAAATCTGCTTAAAAAATCTTTATCGGTCAACGATCTCAGTTGTGTTACCGATAGCCAGAAACAAAACTTTCACAAAGATTCAGAAACACAAATTCTTATTAATCGGACACCCTTGAAGTTCAGCAGTTACTTCTCACAAAAAACTAGCATGTAAGGGAAGCTTACAAATCCTTATCGGTTGTGGTTATATATCTAGCTTCTCTCTTGTTTGTCCTTACATTTTGTAGCAGCTCGCCTGGAAATGCTCCACCGAAAATTTTTATCGAATCACCAAGCACGGAAACCAGCTCCTCAACTCGCACAAGTAGCGGACGAAAAAAGAAGGAGAGGAATAAACGGCAACCAAAAGACTTTCAGGTGCCATTTTCAATATTCAACTTGGGTACAAAAAAGGAAAATCAAAAGGTAATTTTAAGGGAATCCTGGAAGGGTTGTTAGGATTACAATTAACAAAATTTGAAATACGTATGAGGTCTGAGTTCTCTAAATTTTAGCATCTGCATTTTAAGGATTGTCATTAGATAGAAAATTCATCAAATCATTCGCATAATACATGTCAAAGTTGTTGTTGTTGTTGTTGTATCGGCTCGCTAGCCCCGCTTATGCACAGCTTTTATCAGTCTAAGTCGCCGAGGTTATCTAATGGTAGGTCCAGGAAACGAGCTGTTTCGACGGGGTTGGACCAAAGGGAGAGGGGGGTTAGATGAGTTGGTTTGAGAGGGCATGTGAAGAGGTGGTTAGTGTCGTGCGGAGACTCTCCACATGCATGGCATACGTTGGGTATGGTGGGGTCTAGTCTGGATAATTAGGAGCTTAACCTGCTACAATATCCAGATCTAAGTTGTGTCTCACGACAGCCGGTTCTACGCACTGGAGTTGACCCGGATTTTAGCGCTATCAGGCAGCACCTGGGATATAAATAAAGAAACCTTGCTGGCAACCTACAAAGCATTTGGCCGGCCGGTCGTTAACTATGCTGCACCGATCTGGGCCCCGGGGATGAACACAAGCCAGATGACGAAGCTACAAGCCTGCCAGAACATCGTCCTCTGGATTGCGACAGGAAGCCTCCTGGCCCGAGCATATCCAACGTATGCCCTGCAAGTGGAGAGTCTCCTCACGACACTAACATGCCCCCTTCAACCGACTCATCTAATAACCCTCTCCCTTTGGTCCAACCCCGTCGAAACAGCTCACTTCCTGGACCTACCATTAGATGGTCTCGGCGACTTAGATTAGTGAAACCTGTACCTATGCGGGGTTAGCAAACCTTTACAACACCAACAACACTCCTTTTTGCATGCTCTCTTAGGCTTATTCGTCTAAGGCTTCTTTTCTTTTGGGCCGAACTAAACGAAACAGGGCATTAATAATTTTACATTTAATTTTTAGTCGTAAGGAGATTGTAAGTTACTCCATTTTAGAAAAAAAATCCACCTTCCCTTCATGTCTTGAAGGTTGCATGAGCTATAGAGATAGAGAAAGTTCCATAATGTATTGAGCACTAGGCTTGTTATAAGCACTGGGCTGGTCCCACAAATCTTTATCTGAAGGAAGATCAAAAGTAGAAGATTTCAATCGCATATAGTAAACACTTTAGCCACACCGTTTCACTGATAACTTGGGAATTGAATTATGGCATATACAAATATATGAATGCGTGTATATACGCACTTATACGTACATGTATACACTGTAAATCGGAAGAGATGTTAATCGTTTAATTGTGGTTATAGTCCCAATTGTCTAAGAGAAGACCGTGGGTCGAATAAAGTATTCTATGCTAGCTTCTCCGATCACTTCCCAAAGTCTATGTATTTGTTTTTTTTTCTTTCATTCATAGCACAACACTCCCTCACCCATACATCCAGTTGCCCGACCGAACCTCGCCGCCACGTTAAGAGCTGAGGTTTCGAAAAAGAAACTCCGGGAACTACAAAATAATTGCACATATTACGACAGCACTCCGCAATTCGATTGGGAGGTACGTAAAACGCCGGCTTGGAAATCACTTTCCCTCAAGTAAGTAATAACGTTAAAAAGAGTCAAAATTATTTGCTTACACTATTTGTGTTGCAGTGAAACCCACAAAGAGATACTCTCTATGCGTTTGGCAACCCGTAAAGCAGAGCAGGCCATGCAACAGCGTGACTATGAGCTGAATATGGAATTGATGCGACAGCGTGTGAAATCAGCACCACTTCTATTGGAAGGTGCCACATTTTGGGGCCCTCATATTGGCAAGCTAACACATACATGCCACCGCGAAGGTGTAAGCCACTCTTGTCAGTCGAAACAACGCAAATCGCGCAGTAAAAGTGCCGATAGTCGTAGATTTCTACCTCGAGAAGATATTTCCAGTCAAAATAGTCAAAGGAGTAGTAAAATAAATTTGTTGCATAAAATTTATGGTGGATATTCAAAAGAACATAGAAATAGTGCAACTCAAAGGCCAGTAACAAGAAATACAACCCACTCCACGGAAAAGAAACGTTCAGATGAGTTAAAGGTACCGCAGACAGTGAACGATAGTGGTGATGATCTGTCTAGTTTAGATAGAGCTTTCTTATAATTATAAAATATAGATGAGCTAATTTACATAATACCTAATGTCTTTGTAAGTGTATGAGAATTAAAAAAAATTAAATATTAGATAAGATTAGACCGTAATAAAACGTGCACGTCAAATAGCCTCAATTATTATTTTAAGTTGATCTTAAGGTTATCAAAATTCTCAACAAATGTAAATGCAATTTTATCATCGTCCGTTAATGGTGCATTGCCGGGGCGAGCTAATAGCACGACCTGCATACCAGCCTCACGGGCTGCCTCAGCCTCTGAAAAAGGAAACAGTTGAATAATATTGAATAACAGCCCCATATATTACAAAACTATACCTTTTACCACATCAGTCAGGAACAATACGTCTTCGGAGGGTAAATTCAGGTCCTTCGCTATATTTTCATATGATTGCTTTTGTTGCTTGTACCCTACAGCAGTATCATAATGACCACTAATATAGGGTAGTAAATCTCCATATATGGTTTGACCAAATAGGAGCTTTTGTGCCTTAACACTGCCACTGGAGTAAATAGCAATGGGTATACCGGCTTCATGCCATCTCTTGAACGCCGGCAGCACATCCGCATAAATGCTAAAATACATAGAACTTCAAATACTCTGTTCCAATAAAAATAGTTAATTTTTACTTACTGTCCCTTAATCTTTCCACTCATGTAGCCTTTTTCCCAGACTAAGCCTTGTAGATTTTTTAAAGGTCCAACTTTCAGATCTTTGTCAATGAGAAAGTTTACGAAACTCGCTATAACCCCGGCAGAGACGTTTGGCTCTTCATTGCCGACTCTGAAAAACTCTTTATATTGTGGTAAACAACTCTTTATATCTCGAACAATATGCTGAGTTTCGTCACTGTCCCATGTTTCTTCTAGATATGCCTTAGAGTGCACTTTTGCATACGGAAAGAGCACGTCCTGTAATAAAAAATATACAATACAATTGGGAAAAATGTATAAAAAAAGACAATTCTCATCACCTTAACAAAACTGATTGATGTCGTTGTGCCTTCAATATCGGTAAGTATTAATTTAACAGAAAATTCAGACATGTTATTACAATTTCGTCTATATTTACTAACTGAGATTCTTCACAATTAAAAATTACATGGGAGATAAAGAATCAGCTGAAAACAAACTTCTATTTTCCATTGGAAGCCTACTGATAACACCAGAGCTGCCAGCGTTCCCTCATATACGTAAATAATTCAAATAGGGCTGCCAAAACTTAAAAATAAAGTAAGCTTTACCCATATTAAACATTGACCTCAATACGAATACTTATGTTAAGGTACGCCAAGGATCTCTTATTTTCATTTAGATTTTGTGTTAAACATACGTGAAAACCAAGATACTGGTTGCTCTATGCTCCTTTATTGTGCGTTCTCCATTTATGATGAATGTCTTTTCAAACAGTTTTATTATTCAAAGAATATTTCAACAGTCCGGTAGCGCAAGCCTATATTCAGTAGTGAATTTTCTCGCTTCTGTTATTTTGACTTTTATCACTTCATTTTCTGTGCAAAATAATTTGACATTTCCCTATTCTCCAGGTTTCGCAGTTAAACTTGTCAAATTTACACAAAAGTTTTGAGAAAGTGAATCAAAGCCGTTATTTGCACATTTTTGCAAAATGATAGATTTTTTGTAAACAATTTGTGATATCTTTGATTTATCTTTGGATGTGAATTAAGCGTATTGAATCAGATAAACGACTAGCACATGGAATCACATGAAACATATCGACGGATTACAAAATCATCCTAAAATAGAATACAAGAGTCCAAAACAGATTAAACAAATAAAAATATTCCAAAAGTGGTAATGTTAGTATACTCTATTAGTTTGGTTTAAACAAAAATTAGAAAAATAACACCCGTAACACTTTATTTTCAACAGAAGTCAAAAATCAGATCAACTTAAAGAAGTAACTGAGTAAAAACATATGATAACTAAACTTGCCTACGTGATTTAAACACAAAATTTATAATTTTTGGGGGGACGAGAGTGATCTACACTAATCGCTTCAGCCAACAACAGAAGCTTTATCAGCTTGGTCAAGAGATTGGGGCGAGAGAGTAAAGAGTTCGTCGTTCAACGACTCGTTTTGCGGTTACATGGTAAAAGGTGTGTGCGTTCCCCTTGCCTTCCGCAGAATACCCTTATCAGCACATGAAAATCTAATTTCCAAACAGCTGCAGATAGTTTGCAAAACAAATTTTTGTTTTAAAACAAATGCAATTCAGAGTGGTGCAATTATACAACATTATAACGACAATAAGCAAAAGCAATTGCAATTGTGGTGCAAGACAAGGAAGAACTAGTGCAAATGAAGACTACAAAACGCAAAGTATAAACAGAAAGACATATCCAATAGTGAGTGTAAGGTCCCTTTCAAGGTTAAATTGAAGGCATACACTTGTTGGAGGTCAAATTTTTGTGAATAACACATATTTCAGGTTTTACTAAGTAAATGTGGATCAGTCGAGCTGAATTGTTTACATGACATAGTCGGCATCAAAAGAAGCAAGACAAAAAGTGAAAGTGTTAAGAGTGAGTAAATTTATAAAAAAAATGGAAAGATTTCCACAGTGTGCCATTTGTGGTACGACGCAGCAACTGTTGCGTTGTGCCAAATGTAAATCAATCTTTTATTGCTCAACTGCACATCAACATATGGACTGGCCAAAGCATAAACAGTCCTGCCGCATGTTGGCTAAACAAAAAAATGATAATCGCATGCAACATTTGCAACAAGCTGTGGCGGCTACGACGCTAAACAACACAAACAACCAACCAACAATGTCCGCTACAAGCAATGATATCGATACTGGGCACCATCACTGGTCTGCACCCACAAACGAAGTGGGTATCATCGGCTTTGGATTATTAGATGGCAACGGTAGTGCCGAAGTGGATCCCAGTATATTAACTGCAGTATCTCCAATTGCTGTTATGATGGATAAGCATGGAAATGGTTGTATGTACGATCAGTCAAGCAATGTGGTGAATGAAAATAATCACATACCAGTGCCAGATACCGGTGGCACCGGGATTGGTGCAAGTCAAATGCAAAATAGTACCACGTTGTGCATGCAACCGCATTATCATAGTGTCGATCAACGTTTACTCTCGCCGCAATATCACCAACAACAGCAACAATTAACGCAAAATCAGTTGCAATATCAACAAATACCGTCAACACAAACGCAGTATCCACAATCAGCTAATTTCCCAACACATAATAGGACACTTCATTATGAAAAAAGCATAAGCTGTCAAGTGGGAAGTGGCGGTGGTGTGGATGAAAACGCTTTTGGTAATGCAAAGTAAGTGGAAAATATTTATTATTTAGTAAAATACATATTTTATACTTTTTAGAAAATCATAGCGATGTTAGTTATAATATAATACTGATATTAAGTGGTTATGTTGAAAACTTTACAGATTGTTTTGGTCTAAAATATTTTATGAATTTAGTATTAAAATGTTTTACTTACCACTTCAAAACTTAATGCTCTGCCACAAGCTGTACTTGTACATTATTTTCCTCTTTAATTTTTGTTTTATTTTGTTAGTTGTAAAAGAATTTCTCAGCTTTTGTTTGTTGTTGTTATACATTTAAACGCTTTATTTTTTAACTAAAGCTAAATATGTTAACTTGACAAAACAAAAAAAAAGTATTATAATAATAAACCCGATTTTTTATTAAGCAGTTATGTAAGTGTTTGTAACTAAATATTACGTTAAATTTTTACAACTGTTTAAAAGTTATAAAAAATTTCTTTATCTATTCTGAGTAGCAGGAGTTAAAAGTTTCGAGTGCGCTGTCTACTACTGCTGGTCTAAGACTATTGTATAATTTTCATGTCTTTTAACTGACGTTGGCCTATCTTGGCATAATAAGCCGAAGAAAGACATATGCACAAACATTTAAACATTTATGTACATATATATATACTAATGTGGGTGTATTTAATTATCGGTAAAAAATGGCCTAACAGCATTATTTGTACAAACATATATATATGTATGTATGAATGTTTTTTTATGTACATATTATTTAAATACACTAATATCGTTTTATGTCTGTATGTATGTATATATGGGTCAAAAATGCAAATCTAACCCTTTTTCGGTGCTGATGTAAGCTTCTAAAAGTGCTATATAATTATATTTATTTAGCTAAATAATATGCTCAATATATTCTATATACTAAAAATATATGCTAAAAATATTCTATATTTGAATAATTCTCGGTACATAAAAAAGGGTAGAACTTCATATCGATAGAATAGATTTAATTTGTTAATATGTAGAAATAATTATTACTAAAAAAAACTATTCACTTTTGAAAAAAAATGGCGTAAATTTCTAGAAAATCTAAGCTAAAACATTCGACTTTATTGGTAATTTCATGAGAAAAGTTCGCGTCAAAATTTTGACAGAAAGAAAATCAAAATATCGAAATTTATTTTGTTTTCGGTTGAAATGTTTACAAGCATTTTATTGCATGAAATTCCCAATAAGGCCGATTATAACTTTCAAAGCACGATCTATTTCAATTATTCCTTGTTACAATTTTTTTTTTTAATTTCCAACAAATAGGAAATTTCGTTCGCCTTTTTAGTACTAAATCATGTTAGACGTTGAGGCTTGTGGCCACTGATATTTTTAAATGTTCAGGAAAACATTATTTTATTTTAAAATATGAAGCTTTTAATTTAATGTTATGTTAATGTTTATTTATTATTCATTTGATATACATATATACTTATGTATGTAAGTTGTATGTGCTAATATGCATTATGTATATGCGTTTAGCAATACAGATTCATTTTATTTTATAATTAATTGCATTTTTTTATACTTGCACGTTTTTTTTTTAATTATATACAGGGTGCTCCATCTAGACCTTCAGTATTTCAATATTGAATAACTCTATCGGTTTTTAGACGATTTTGATAAATGTGCTTGATTCTGAAACTTTATTCAGTGCCATTTTAGTCATAAGTGTTTAGATTGAAAACAATCGTTCAATTGTGAAAACAGTACGTGCTTATCGTATGAAGCTCATTTCATGAAAAATGGTGATTTGGAATGGCCGTCTCGTCCTCCAGATTTAACTGTACCAGATTTTTTTGTTCGGAGCTACTTAAAAAGTAAAGTTTATGCCAGCAAGCCAAAGGCAATCGACGAACTAAAAGTTAACTTACGAGTCAAAATAGCTGCTGTACACCTGAAATGCTGGCCAATGTTATGCAAAATGCGCGAAAATTAGCTACTTTCTGTGTTTCGAATGATCGACGTTGTGTTCTAAAACTGATTTAAAATAAATGGCAAATTATATCCTAAATAAAACTTGCTCATTTTCTAAATTCGGCTGAAAAATATGAGGGTTCCTCAATGTTGAAATACCGAAGATCTAGATGGCACACCCTGTATGTTTGCTTTTATCGTTCTTACTGTGACTTTCTTCCACCTTATCAGAGATAAGCAAGTACGTGAGGAATGCTTGTTAGCACTTTTCGTCACCTAATCTCGTTATAATTTTCATTTTTTTCCTTACTTTTTTTTTATTTCTCCGACTTATGTAGGTGAAAATGTCAATTGATTACTTCACAAGGTATATCTTTAGATATAAAATATGACATACTTATATACAGGCTTGCATTTGAACAACTATATACATATGCATATGCAATATATAAATATATATATACATATATATGTGGGGGTGTTGTCCAAATTTTCTATGCAATCGCAAGCCACCTTCTTTCATTTATCAACAAACTAACAGATTCTAAATGAGTTCGAATATTATTTGGGTCACAAGCAAATGCGTTTTTTGTGAAATTTGAATGCCAACTGAAACTTTTGGAAATCTTGAAATTCTACAGAAACCAAGAAATATTGAAAAGGCGAATACAACGTACAATACAACTAACTACTGCTTGTCATATTATTGTCAAGATGAATTCGCTTCGGTTAACATTTTAAATCGTTTTTTGGTAAAAATTAGAATCATTATTTGAAAAATATTAAAGACTTCTCGTTGGTCACTGAAATTTGTCGCGTGGCCACTAGTTTGGACAACACTGGGTTAAATCTGTAACGGATTTAAATATATATATATATGTATGTACATTTAAAATATATTTTCCGAAAGGTATTCCATGTATGTACAGTTGAATTCAAAAAGTTTTGCTGTGATATTTCAAAAAATATCGAAAAGTATATGTTCAAATGTACATACATACATATGTATATATAAGTTACTTGCATATTTCATTGCAACGTGATTTATACTAAAAAAAAAATACATACATATTTTTGTTGTGAGAAACACAACACACACGTACATATACATATGCACACATTTTGCGCAGTTGGCATTATGAAAAATTCTGTTATTAATTATTTTCATTTTGATGAGTTGCTAATTTATTTTTTTATTTTTATGAATTGTTGTTTTTTTATGTTTTTGTGAGTCGTTTTATTTACTTTGAGTTGTTTTTTTTATTTTTAGTTTTATATCAATTCTATTTATTGATATTTTTTTTAATTTATTTATTTTTTTTAATTTTTATTTTTATTCTATTTAATTTTTTTTTCATTTGAAATTAATTTTTATTTTTTAAATTTATTTTAATTTTGTTTTTTTTTAATTTTTATTCTATTTTTTTTATTTTTTTTATTTTTTTTTTGAAATTTATTTTATTTTGAATTTATTTTTGTTCTTATTTAATTTTTTTATTTTTAAATTTTTTAATTAACTGTAATTATGTTAATAAAAATTTTTAAAATAATACTTAACAATAATAATAATTTTTTGAAATTTTCTTATCAAAAATTTAGTATCAATGTTTCTTAGCAAGCTTTTGTGTTTGCAAAATAATTTTTACTGCACTTTATGTTTGGCATAAAAATAACACTAAAAAGCAAGCTTTGGAATTAAATTAACCTAAATTCTAGTCTTTTTTGTCAGCAAAAGCCACTTATTTTATAATTCGCACCAAGACGGTGCATTACAATCTTCATACGAGTGATTAGTCATTGAATTGCGCATATTCCTAGTACAGTCACTAAAGATATTTATACACATACATACATATGCACATACATTTGTTTGATTTCGGTCTGTATGGCATTTGCACGTTTCCAGCTGCAACAACTTTTCCTCCCAACGTTGTACTAAAACGCACTTGACATTAAATGCAATTCTAAGAATTCAAACACATATATGTATGTATGTACATATATGTGCATATCGGATTTTCCTATCAGTAAATGTAATAACAAAATAAATATTGGCGCACAGTGGCTCACGGTTAAAGTCGGACTATTATTATTATTAAAATTATTGAAAGGAAGAAATATTAAAAAAAAAAATTAAAAAAGTCTTTACACCTTTCATAAATTTATCATTTATTACGAATTGCGAAATTCCCTTTCGATTATTTTCAATACCCATATTTATTTGAATTTATGTATGTAGAATAACATGTTTTTTAGAAGCTTTTTTACGGATCTCAAATCTGAAAAATCGGTTGTATGGGGTCTATATATTAATGTTGGCTCGACCTGATCGGTTCCGGCAAAAGGTTAATACAGTAAAAAAAAAACCATGAACCCGATTTTTCTACCACTTTTTTGTAGTGATCGAGGACGTATGTAAGCAATAAAGCACTGAGTATTCTTTTCCGAGGCGTTAATTGCATTGGCTTTATCTGCGTAGACAATAGACTTCACATAACACCACAAAGAAAAGTCCGGCGGTGTTAAATCGCACGAGATTAGAGGCTCACGGTGCGAGATAATGTCCTCACCAAAAATTTGCTTCAATAAATTGATTATTTCTTTGGCTGTATGGACTGTAGCGCCGTCTTATTGAATCCAAAGGTCGTCCACATCAACATTCTCCAAGTTTGTAGTGCTCCCCATTGGCTGTAACAATATGACCGTTTTCACTTTCGATTCCTTCCGCCCATAGAGCCAACTAAACATAGATTTTTGAAGATATAAATCCGATAGTTTTGTTACCCCTTAAACCAAAAGAGTGAGTTTCATCACAGAACAAAATTTTCTTCAGAAACCCGAGCACCGAATGTGCAGTGCGCTTGTTGGTCGTTCAGCTTTAAGTTGAGTTCGATTTTGCTATTCCTCAAACCAAGATCTCGCAAAAAAATCGTCCATTAAGTGCAGGACACAGCTCCAATTGTTGCGCGCGATGACGGTTAGACTCATTCGCTACTCCGATACTCTCGTAAAATTATTTGGTTAATTAATTTGCGAAATTTGCAAACGACGTTCCGCAGTAAGTCTATTC